AGCAATGCCCGTGGTCCTCTGGGTTTTGGTTTTCTTGCTTGAGGTGCCCCCGTAGAGCCGCTCGATATCAGCTGGGTTCAGATCAAACTTGAATCTCTCGGGGTTGTTGGAAAGGAGGAGACGGCACACATGGCCGCGACTGGAGCAAGCAACGTTGAAGTGCGCACAACAGCTGCGCAAGGCGCGGGTCCGATCTTCACCAGCCAGGCCAGCGACGTCGATGCTCTGTGTCAAACCTTCCAGCAAAAGGTTAATCGCCACTGTGCTGTAGATGGTTCCTTTCACCTCTGCAACTCCTTTTTCTGAGGGCATGCTCAATGGCCAATTTGTGTCTCTGACGTGCCAATTGACGAACCATGGATGTGTGATGTGATTCCAAGTTGTTGCTTTCTGGTTCTTTGCCTGCCAGAGTTTGCCCAGCATCACCGGTACGTCGTGCAAGTCCGTGAGGATGGTAGCCATCTCTTGCTGCTGGTGCTGCAAACAGGATTCGATGAGGTCGGTCACCCGGTCGATGAATCTGGCCATGTCTGAGTTTGTGTTCAGCAGGCTTGCAAGCAATAGGGCGGCGAGCGGCGTGGATCCAACAGGCTGCGCAGCGGCGGCGAGTCGGCTTTCTGCGTCGGCAGTAGCCCAAGTTGGAACTGGTCCTGCGTCAGCCCAGACTCCCTTTGTTTCTTCTGCAGCTTCTTTTTCATACTTCTTGTTGTCTTCTGTGGTTTCTTCTTTCGCTTCTGTGATCGCTGCCTTTTTCTCATGTGTTTCCATTGATTCTTCTGGTTCGTCCCTGTGTTTGTCGAAGTGGCTCCTGACTTCTGGCGGTCCTTGGAAATGAAGCTGTTTCCTTTTGTGGTTCTTGCAGAATTTGCAAACCAAATAGTTTGAGCCATCTGTGGCGATGCGAAGTCCGAGAGGAATGAATCGTCGCAGTTCCGACGGGTCCAGGTCTGCGTACCAAGGCGTTCGGGCTAAGTCGTGAATCTTCTCAATACTTTCTGATGTTAGTTCCATGAAGGCAGGCGGGGCCGAATCCCTGGTATCGCTGCTGGAGCTTGCGGCTGTCTCTGCTGGAGCCAGCGTGCTGCCAGAAGATTTTTCTTGCGCAGTGCAAGCAAGAAGGGCTTCGAGGTGGGTTTTGAAGCCGTGCTTCCATCCCCAAGCACGTGTGCACGCAAAATGCGGCAAGTCGTGCGGCAGCGACATCACATGGCCATCCATAGGCACGGCAATTCCCTGGGCGTCGACCATCTGCTTCTGAGTTGCACCTTCTGTTTTCAAAAGCATCTCTAGGAACAAGAAAATTGGACCATATGTTGGAGTCCAATTCCAGCCGTGCTGCGGCTCGTTCCCGTTGAGGTCATTCTTGATCAGGTTCCAGAGATGTCTGCAGAATAACATGTAACATTTGGATAATTGAGTTTGTCTTGTGTTGCAGCAGTGTCGGATGGCTGCGGTCATGAGCGGATGCATTGGGCTGCAATCCAGAATGCAGCCCTGGAAAATGTGGTCTTTTTTTTGCCCAATGGCTAAAATCAGATGCGGTGTCTGAGCTATGCTCTGCACACCGAAGGCCTGAGCTATGCTCTGGCCCGTCTCTGTAGCATCCCCCTGACGGTAGATGTCGCTGAGCGTTTCTTGGAGGGGTCTCAACAATGCCATCTTGATATCCAAGTAATTGCCGCCACGACGTCCCAAGCGCACGTAGCGCCAAAAGTCGGCCTTGTGTGCTCCACGTTGGAATGTGTTGTATCTGTCAAGGAGGTCTTGCCCCCCCAAAGAGAAAATGTCAGTGGCGCAGCCATTATCCGGGACGAATTCCCGAGTCAAATGGGGAGCAAATCGGGACTTGTTCTCTGCAGCCTGGTCGTGGTCCTCTGTGTTGGTTTGAAATAGCAGAGGCGGAGGCTGTCGCAGGCAATGGCAATAGACTGCGAAATCTACCTTCTCACTGCTGTGCTGAAACACAGCTACCTTGAAGCTCTTCCAGTCCTGAGCGTCACACAGGTGGCGAAGGGCCAGCATCTCGTCTATGTGTTCTTTTTCACTCACATTCCAGCCCGCGCACACCAGCACTGGGAAGCGCTCAGCGGGGAAGTCTTGCAATGCGACTTGGACAACTGTTTGCATCGCTGTTGATGCCACGGCTGCCTTGAAGTGCAAGGTCCTGCCTTTGTAAGCTTCTGGAGCAATGTGCATGATCGGTGTTTTTGTTTCCGGCACCTGCCATTGGTCGCGGCCGCGTTCCAATGCGTCATAAGAACGCTGTGGGACCGAGTCTCTTGCAGGGACTGCCTTGCAGCAGACGGCAGCGTCTTGGTGCAAGAAGTCTGGATTTTCTTTGATCCAGTTGGACAGCAAGGTCAGTATGCTCGAGCCTGAGGTTCCCTTTCTAATCAAGCTGCCTCCGCAACTTATGAAGGCAATCGTTTCCTGGACCACCTCCACACCGTTGCCGGAGACAGCCCGCGAAGGTAGCCATCCATAAGCTGTGGAGTCTGACAGCAGAAACCTTTTGGCCATGGCGGAGCAATGCTTGGGGTCTTTGTGGGAAAGAGTGCGGCATACCATTTGTTGCTTTGTTTGCTTGTGCGAAGTGTGTCTTTTGCTTTGTTTGTTATGTGTCCTGTCATGTTTGCATGTGTGTAGCATGCAGCATATCAGGTAATGTAGCATGTGGCATGTTTGAAGGTGTGTCCGGTGTGTATCAGCTGAGCAAGTCTTCGCCTGCTGTTTCTCTGAAAAATAAGGTGGCAACGGCATACATCACGTCAATCAGAAGCAAGGCTCAACTGCGCGATAATGTATGCCAGCATTCATCATTTCTGGGACACTGCTGCCTGGAGAAAGTGGAAGGTGTTCGTCAAATGCGCACTCGATCTCCTGGAGTAAGGACTTCTCTGAGGACATAGGATATATGTATATATATATATATATGGACACCCAAGACCTGTTGTGAGTTTGTGTGAAACGAAAAGAAGTGAACCCCTGAAAAAGCGTAGTGCTTTTAGGTGCACAAGAAGTTTTGTAACCTGTGCACTGAATGTGGAAGGCTTGACAAAGTGTAATTCCACTGGACCTTAGTCGAGCAACGGTGTTTGACAGGGTGGCAAACGCGAACAGCAAGGGCAAGGTCGAGCTGTTTTGTCGCGGCCGAGCAACAGCAATGTCCCAATTGCTGTCAGCGGTCAATATAGAATAGCACATCTGAGCTATGCTTTGTGCAGCAAAAGAGTTTGGATTAAATCTATACTAATGTTGGTTCCTGATTAGTGTGAGGCTCCCTCCTCTCTTCTCTCTTCTGAACAATATCTGGACCTTATTTAAAGTTGAAAGTCAAAATTTTATTCCCAAGAGAAAAGCAAATTTCACTTAAGTAAGGATTGCAATTGGCTACAATTGAAATTTAATTAAAAGTGTGTTTTTCCGATGAACTTGTGGTATTTGCAGTACTGGTAGTATTTGTAGTACTTGTAGTACCTGTAGTACCTGTAGTACTTGTAGTACTTGTAGTACTTGTAGTGCTTGTAGTACTTGTAGTAACCACAGATTGCATAGCTTGCTACAATAGTGAACTTAGCAAAGAAACCTACTAAAGTGAAATGGAGCCTCTCCTGGCCCAGGGCCTTGGAAAATTGTGGAAAAGCTGGTCTTTAATAAGGGTTTAATAAGGCATTGGTCCCTTTGGGAAAGGCTTGGAGTTTGAATTTGGCAAGTGCTTTTGAAAAAAGGTCGACCTCTCAGTAATTAGAGGTTGTTTGTTTTGGGAAAAAAAACTCTTTTTGAGGCCACAAAAGCGAACTCTCCAAGCAATACATGGGTTTCACAATAAGTTGGAAAATTTACCACAATAGCGAACTTAGCTACTAATCAGAGACCAACATGAACTGTTTCTGCACTGTCATCGGTTGCAGAGATCTGCGGGTGAGCTAGGTTCCAGCCCAAATGTTAAACAATGGTTATCTTTCAAGTGGCTGAGTGCCAAAACAGGATCGTTATTTGGCCACGGCATAGTTTTACCTGGCCTCAGGCATCCGGAAAGGAATCAGCGTTGAGGTGGAGTTTTTTGATCGCTTCGAGCGCGTCTTTGTCTTGATTAATCTCTGGCCAGGGGCGCTTGGCAAAGAGTATGTCGGAGTGACCACCTCCTTGATCTTTTTTCTTGGCCTAGAAGGCAAGTGGCTGAACGGAGACCAGCAGCTATATCGGCAAGAGTTGTAAGTGAGCGTGGGACATGTAGGAAATGAACGCAAGGGTGCAACATGTTTGTCCGGATCGCTCTAGTGCGTGCAGTGTCAGTCTGTGCGGGTATCGCGGTGAAAAAAGAATTACTTTACTTCGAGTCATCCCCGCCATGACATTGATACGCTTTGTTACTGGCAAGTCTTCTGGCATGTACTTTGACATTTTATCTGGCATACCTTCTGGCATTCTATCTGGCATTTCTTTGGGCATTGTATCTGGCATTTCTTCTCGCATTTTATGTAGCATTTTATCTGGTATTTCTTCTGGTATTCTATCTGACTTTCTTTTTTTCGTCCTATTTGGCATATCTTCTGGCATTGTATCTGGCTGTAGAGGTCCAGCGGTGCGAACGGAGCTCGGAAGGTCGCAGGTTGAGGTCCAGCGGATCTCGCTGATGTCGCAAGGTCCCAGGTTGAGGTCCAGCGGTGCTGGCTTGGATCGGAAGGTCCCAGGTTGAGGTCCGGCGGTGCCCAGTGCGCGTGGAAGTTAGCGAAGAGTTGTCAAGGCGGAGGTGGAGGAGAAACTGTGGGAGGAGGAGAGGAGGAAGAGGAGGAGGCGGAGGAGGAGGAGGAGAACAACTGCATCGCTGCTTTGTTACTGCGTGCGTACTGAAGAAAGACCTAGTGTCTAAGTGTGCTCAGAATATTTAGTGTGAATATTGGTGTGTCACTGCGCTGCCTTTGTGTCTTCGGCAGCTTTGTCGCCCGCTTCCTCATTCGCAGCCTGTTGCTCTTTCCTTGGCTTGATCTCCAGCAGCAGGCGTCTTTTGATCAAATCTTTCACTGCTGTTTGCAGCTTCTTGGCCACGTCGATTGTTTTCTTCTTTCTGAAGTAATTCTTCATGGTTTTTCGGACTTTGGCGGTCTCTTGTACTGCATTTCCGGGGCAACGCGACAAGATTTCTTTCTGGATCTGTCCCATTTCGTCTTCTGGTTCAGGAGGAGCTCCTGGGCGGTCGGGCTTGTCTTTCATGTCTTTGTCCTTGTCTTTGACACATCGCGAGCGGTAGAAGGCAGCCCACAGAGCCATCTGGCGCTTCCATGCATGAAGGGCATGAATGAAGCTGAGAAAGGAAATGGGCTCGGCTTGTTCTGGTGCGGCGTCCTGCAGGATATCAGCGTGGAAGAAATGAAGAAGCCATGTAACTATGTAGGCAAAATCTTCGCTCAGAAGCAAGACGTAACAGCGATACAGAAGCATATGTCAACGCACTTTGATTCTAATGTTTTCTTGGGCAAAATTGGAAATTTAATGTTAGAATCCACAAGAGATTTGCTCCCACTGGTTTCTTTTTGTTGCTTAATGTAATGATCGTCATGCATGCACTCTCGTCTCCTGAGTTGTGTCTGCATCTACTGGATCTTGTGGTTGCTGCCGTTCTGGATGTGTACGTTCATCCTGTAGTGTGGCAGGGCGACAGCGGAAAGTCATTGTAAGAATGTGAAGATATGTGAACCCTGGCTGTCCTGCTGGCGTTGCAGCTTCCACTGGCAAAAGTCTTCCATTCTTTGGCAGGCGCTAGCAAACCGGAGCCATTCTGTGTCGTAGTAGCGCAATTTCTGCTCATAGTGTTCGTGCATTTGGCCGTGGGTGGCGGAAAGGAATGTTTGAATAGCTTTGGCTGCCTCTCGGAAAACTGTTCGGGCAAAGCCATCCAAGGATCTGGATTGTATGTTCCCAGACGCGTTGCGTCCCATCCAAGCATGGAAGTCCTTGAGAAACTCCTTGGATGTGTCTGCCTTTTGCTCGTCATCTGCGAAGACTGGGACCACCTGATTGGCAACGAGGCAGGGTAATCGAATTAAGAGTGTATGGATCGGTGGATGCGGAGAGTGCAGCGGCTCCGCCTAATCTGTCTGAACAAGAACAACATTTGGATAGAATGCTATCTCTTTCCGAGTATGGTTTTTGTTTGGTATTGTTAAACAGGGGCCGGCTGCGCCGCAGCTGTAGGCAGCCTGCCAGCCAACATAGATGCGCTTGGCAAAGAAGGAGGCGTTGGGAGCTAGCACCTGCTCCACGAGAGGAATTTGTCCCCAGATCATGTGCTGGAAGGCGTAGTTCTGCAAGATCAGCTGGCCAGAGCCTTCGGCTGGTTGGATTCTCGCGGTAAAGGACGTGTTTCCTTTTTTTGTCGTGATTGCAGATGTGTCTTGACTTGAAAACGGATGCGTGGAAATGGGGGACAGGATATATAGGCAGTGTGTATACATAAAAAAAGAGGTTTGTTTTGGAATTCCATTGTTATAAATGCATTTACATCTCAAAGTGTTATATGAAACTCGGTACTACTCGCTCTTCCGCAGCTTTCCTTTTTCACAGCAATGCCAATGTCAATCACATTTCACCTGCAATCCTCAGGTTTGCTTTGGGTCGTCACGTTGTGACATGTACATAGCCTCAGACCAGTGTCACCGCCGGTCAGCTGCCTGGTGATCCAGGCTGGAACCTGCTCAGCAGGTATCACCCAACCCTTAACCTAAGGGAAGGTAAAACTCTCTTGGTCACCCCAAGAGAGAATCCCCAGAAGAGGCTATGGACTCGCCTGCCCCGCAGGCTCCCCTAACCTAGGCGGACATCTCCACGGGAGGTCGGCTCTTAGGGTTGGGAGGGTGGGGAAAGAAACAGCAAATGAATGCTATTTTGGTTCAAGTTTACTTGAGCCAAAAATGATAGCATTCATTGAACACTTAAAGATGATACATGCACACCCAAGCCTGCCAAACTCGATGCATGGGTACATCTCAAAGTGTTATATGAAACTCGGTACTACTCGCTCTTCCGCAGCTTTCCTTTTTCACAGCAATGCCAATGTCAATCACATTTCACCTGCAATCCTCAGGTTTGCTTTGGGTCGTCACGTTGTGACATGTACATAGCCTCAGACCAGTGTCACCGCCGGTCAGCTGCCTGGTGATCCAGGCTGGAACCTGCTCAGCAGGTATCACCCAATGCACTCAAAATCCCCAAAGCACTAAAGGAATTCAAAGGTGAGAATGACAGCGACGAAAGGCAGCTGGAAAAAGATAGTGGGAAGGTACGACGAATATTAGTCAAAACCATGGTATCGCCACCATGGGTCCTCAGCGCCGAGGCGGCTGATGTCATCAGCCCAGTTGCTCTTGCTCTGGACGTACTCCCAGTAACCCTGGGCTCGCAGTGCAAACAGAGCTAGATGGATCAAATGACCAGGCTTGGCTAAGTTGGCATTGCTAGAACGTCCTCTCACTAGCGTCATGACGGCTGCAACGTTGTCCAGAAACCAAAGCCCGTGTCGATTTCGAAACAGGTCAGGTCGTTCCACTAAGGCGTACAGCACCATCGAGAGCTCCAACTGGGCGATGTGGGTTTCTGCAGGCTGCCATAATTTCTGAAGCTCTGCACAATTGTTGGCTACAAAACTGTGACGTATCTGGGATCCGTCAGGCTGGAAAAAGATGAGGTGAAAACCTCCTGAACCTGGATTGTCAGCCTCCACCGCAGCATCTGAGGCAGCAAGGAAGCGCAGGTTGTCCAGGTGAAAGACGGGAAATTCCCGTTTTGGCTGAAAGCGCATCACTGCTTCGATCACTTCGAAGCATGCTTCAATCTCAGGGGTTACCGATGTAGTGGCTTCATCCTGTCTGGCTTTGATTGCCATCAGGCCACCATACCCTACACGGCCATAGATACCCTGCTCTAGGAAATTCGCCAGGCCATACAACTTCGAAGCTGTGCCACGGCTGAAGTGACCTGTAGTCCTAGCCGTAGTGAGGAGGTCACGAACTTTATCATGAAGACGTTCTCGAGCCCAAAAACGGACATGCCCTGTTTGGTTGATGCAGTCGAGGTCATGGGTTAGGCCCAAAAAGGTGCCTGTGCTCTGCATTGACTGCTTCTTGTCTTCGGCAAAGGGGGAGCCTATCAACTTGCAAAGCTGGTTCATGGCCCATTGTCCGGAGCCTTTGGAGGAACGTAGGTCCGTGATGGTCGCATCGTCGAAGTAGAGAGATGTCAAAACTTGGCAAAACCGCCTGGCCAAAGCTTCCAACAACCGCGAAAAACGGTTGAATGAAGTGACCGCTAACGGAAGCCCAAAAAGGAGGCCTGCATAGACCTGATATGCTGGAGTTTGCCATTCATGGTGGTACCACACCACTATGCAGCCTAGGCTTTCTTGCATCGCCATGGGGCAATACCGGTAGGCTGATGGTAGATCTTCCTGGCCTGTCTCCCAGGCATCGTTGGCGAAGAAGTGCTCGACGTCCTCTGCTGTCCATCTATGCATCACCAAACGAATGTGCTGGGCTGGACGCAAAGGACTGCACAGGGTGAGCTTGTTGGCATCGGAGGAGAGGGCTGATTGTCCTCCTGTGTCGCCATTGTCGATCACTCTCTGCTTGCCTGAACTCTGCGTGATGACACAACGAGGGATCAAACGATGTGCTCGGTTGCCAATGAGCCGCAAAAATTCGGCTCGTCGCAGAGGTGCGGTGCAAAACCCGTTGTTGGCATCCTCCATGGATTGTTGCAAAAGGAACTCATCATCTTTGCCTGCTCGCAGCTGGTGCAGGATGTGCTGGTTGTGTTCCTGCCACCCATCCAAAACATCTGTCATGCTGATCACCTCAGCCGGCTGCTGGGGAAAAATTCCATAGGGTGGCGCATAGCCCACTGCCGGCAAGCCACAGATCAAGCCAAAGGGGAAGCTAGTGTCAGCCCAGGATGTCAACACCATCAACAAGGCTATGAGCCCCATATCTCGATGTTTTGTGACTTGCTGCACGGCGGTTTCCTGAAAAGATCTCAAGTGGAGGGTCACCCCCTCCCAGCGTCTCTTCAGCTCGCGCAATGCCCCCACTGCCTGTTGCCTCCACGGCCTCAGCGATTTGGTCGGGGATGCGTATGCATCGGCCACAAACTCCAAATCCATGTCAGAGACTGGAAGGTCTTCATAGGGCAGCGGCCGCTGGGCCCGTTGGAGGGCTTGTTGGAAATGATCGTCCGGCTCCAAGTTGAACGCCAGGAGTGGTGGTAGTGCTGCTTTGTGCGTCATTGCACCGACTTGGCCTCCCTCTCCAATTCGGGCCAGTTGCCTCACAGATCCCGCAGCAAGGTGGGGGACTAAGGGGCCGTCCCAAGCCTCACCACGCTCTGCCAGCCAGGCTGCGTAGGAACAAAACGGCGGGCTGTTGATGAGGTCCTCCACCATCGCAAACTTGTAACTCCTGAACCAATGCTCGGGGAAAAGCTTGCGAAATGCCAGCACTACTGCCTCCTGGCTCATCATGGGTAGGGCAACTCCTTTGGGGATCGCCTGAATACCTTGCAACAACGTAACTGCCCGGCTCCATTTGCCATCTGTGCCTCTACTGCCTGGGTCGCCCCCAGGGGCCATGGCATCAAAGTAGAGTCCAATGAGAAGATCGGCCTCGCAAAGTTGTTCCATAGGACAGTCGCAAGCTAAGGCCACGCCCTTGAGCTCATGCAGGGCGTCCCACAACGGCGATGTGCGGATATGGACAATGTACCGTGCATGCCATTCTCCAGCCTCGCAATTGTGGCCTGGTGTCCAAGGCGACTTCCACTTGGTCGTCGTCAGCCGATGGTGGAAGCTGCCTCGCCCAACATAGATCGTCTGGTGTGGCAACTTGTTCTTCTCGATCATGACGTCCTGCACGAGCTTCCTGACTGGTAACCCCGGTCGCTCGGCTCGCAGGGATTCTGTCAACCCAAGTGTCACAGCTAAAGGTGCCATTGCCCACTCTCGCATTGCACGAGGGTCCATGTCCAACCAATGCTCCCGTCGCCCCACAGCCAAGAATGTGGGCATGCGAGGAACATGCAACTTGGCCAGCCCTCGACGGGCTGCCCACCAACTAGCTGAGACTGCAATGGAGAAAGCAAGGATTGCCGTGTACTCTGCCTCTTCTTTGGAAGGGTAAACTCTTATGCCATCAGAAGTGTAGGGGGTCCATTCTTGTGGGTCATGCACGTGGTGGCAGTTGGCTGGGGGCCATCGCTGGATCTCCTCCACATTGTGTCGCAACACTTGATGCTTGCAACGTGCGCCACCTAAGGTGCATGCTGCGTACGAAGTGTCAACCCATTGTCCAGACTCCCACATAGTCACCTCTGCTGAAGTCCACCAGTGCAAAGAACGGGCAGGGTTCTCTCGTACACTGCCTCCACCTCTGTCTCTCAGCTTCTGGATCTCCCCCAAGACGTAGTTGCATGCCTTGTTGTCCATGTCAACCCTTTTGGCATCTCTGCCAGCCAAGTGAGGCAAGCCATCTGGGTAGACTTCAGAACGGAGAGGGCCAGGTGCTGGCCTACCATCTTCGAACTTCCGAGGAATCTCTCTGGTGATAACCGCTGCGCAACGGTGGGCTCCTTGGGGGCATGGCTTGGCTTTGCACCCTCCGCGTTGAAACTGGGGGCAAAGTTTGGTGCCGTCCTTCATGGCCGTCGCCACCTGTTTGCCATTGATCGGTTTCCCCAACTTCAATGGCGAAGCACTGGGTTGGACTTTGGGCGGACTCGCAGTCGAAGCTGCTGTGGGGGCAGTGGTCTTCTTTTCCGGAGTAGCCGGCCCAGGGGCTGACCAGTGCGCATCCCTGGAAGTGTAGACTTCGCTGATCACCTGGCCCAAGCTCATGGTGGACTCACGGAACTTGGAGACCCATTCACTGCGCTCCTCCACATCCTTGGCTTGCAGCCATTGCATGCGCTGTGACGCAGGCAGCCCTGTCACTGTGCGCTTGGCCCTGAAGTAGTACTTGTAGACTACATCCATGGGAACGTTGAACTGTGTCGGCTCCCAAGTTGAGCTCCTGAGCAGCGTCTGGCGCTCCGGTCGCCCCGGAACATCCTGCCATGGCGTAAGCCAAGAGCAACGTAAACAGCCTGTCCAGGTAGTTGTCAACGTCATGGGTCACAACTTCATCATCCTCTCCGTCCTCCAAGAAAAGCCCTTCACTCAGCTTCCTCTTCTTCTGCGATGTGGTGAGCTGGAATTGCAGCGCAAAGCATGCGCTTCTGCATCTCCCTGGCCACTCGGGAAATG